TTTCACTTTGTTCTCGAACAGGGCCGTGAGGCTGTGGAGTGGGTTATCAGGCGACTGAATACAGAAATTGAGGAGCTGGCAGCCACAGCACGTGGGACCATACGCACCCCGATGGCTGCTGCAGTCACAGAGAAATGACACCCAACTCTGGTGTTCAGCTAAGTTTCAGATTGGACTGCACAGCAGAACAGCCAGCCTCCTTCTATGATACTCTGGTCCTGTTTGGTGCTTTGGGGATTTTTGTATTATTTAAGGGTACAATTTGGCATGTTGTGTACTTTTACCAGTTATATTCTAAGCCGGAGACTGCTGCCTAAAGGAGGTCTGAGTGTTTTCTAGTGATGCGGCCTGGCGGGACTGCTTTGATGGGGCGCTGAAAAGTTGGTGGCTCACTCAGGGACATTTAAACACTACTGCCATTTGTGTGTTTGAAAAAAGGTGCAATGTGGAAGGACTGGAAACACAAGAAATGTGCCAATGCAGACGCTGCTGTTTGTCTTTACAAATGCCTTCTCCAGGTGTGTTTTCATCTGGCAGAAATGTGTCAGAATGCCAGCACATCGTCTCTGGTCTGAGCTTCACGTTTACAGCAGAAAAACAGGTCATGGTGAGACGTAAAGGAGTGACTGTAACAAATGCGTACACTGAGAAATGATGGCTGATATTAGCCATGGAGGCGGCAGGTCAAGCGCACCGAATGTCACAAATGCATGCAAGCAGGTCAGATTAAACGGTTTGGGTTATCCACAGTGACCACAGTAAGGTTTATTTGTGTAAGAGAGCCACCTCAACAGTGTTTTCGTATGGGACCTCGGTTACAACAACAGACTGTACTAGGTACGAATGCAAGCCTGATACTAAACTGTACTGATGTAATGTAATAACTTATGTCATTGGGGTATTTAAGTGAAATTAAGGGATCAAAGTACTTGCCATATTTATACTTTTAAAAATGTATAGTAGACCTTCTCAAATGCTGCTTTAATGTAACATAAACATGAATCTGTTTACTGTGTAGAAACAAGGGTCAGACTTCTTTTTACATACTAAACCTGAGGTCGTTTCAACTGAAGTAGTTTTATCGGCACATGCATAATCCTGTAAGCATGATCACTGAATGCCGGGGCCGAAAGCTTCACACTTATTACCAGTAAAAGCTGCTACATGTGCTAAGCAAGCATTTTGATAAAACTGTTTCAGTGGGTACTCTGTGTTTGAGATGGTCTCATAGTGGGAATCTGTGTGGCGATGGTAAACGCACAACTTTCTGTATATAACATATTTATAAATATTTTTTATCTATGTCAGGGATATTTATTTTTG